AAACATTAAAGATTTTTAAAAAATCTTTAAAACTATCACGACATATTCTTCCGGAAAATTAAAATCCCTATCCTCGACACATCGTCGCTCCGCTCACCAGACACCGTTGAGGAATCTCAGCACGACCAGGGTGGCGAAGTTGGGCGCTATGCTGGCGCACACGGACACCACCACGTCGGCCAGCAGCGCCCGGATCATGATGCGGCGCCGGCCCGTCGTGTCGGCCAGCACGCCCCACATGTGCGCGCTGCAGATGATGCCGATGTAGGTGATGGCGCCCAGCACACCCTTGTCGGCCTGGGAGATGCCCAGGTCGCACTCAGCCGCGGGCAGCACGTAGCCGACGTCGATCATCTCCATGATGGCGGCCATGATGGACACGCCCGACACCAGCATGAGCAGGTAGTGGAACTTGCCGAAGCCTTTGTGCGAAACACAGTAGTTCGTTTTCACCACTGAATACAACAAAACGTGGCACATTTTTGCGCTCCCTTTCGCGAGACCGCGGCTTCTCACCTGTGAGTTTGACGGCATCTTCAAACGACGTGGTGGTCCCGGACTCGACGACAGTTCCATCTGGAGGAGGTGGCTGTTTGCCTGCGCAATCCAAAAAGGCCAGTTGTTAGTGAAACTAGAGCCAATCCAAACTGTGCGTGCAGGCCACAAACGCATGATCAATATTATTTCTTGCACTGACTGAGCAGCGGCTCCCGCAGGGGCAGGCTCTCGGGCTCGCCGTCCCCGGCCGCCCCGTCCTGACCCATCGATCCCCGACCCCGTGCGTACAGTAGTCCGGCTGGAGCCACCACGCCGTGCGCGTGCCCGGAGCGTCGCGATCGCGAGCGGCCGCCTGAGCCCCGCGACCACGGCTACTACTGAGCGCGTCCTAGCGGCCGGCGGCGTGCGTGCGGGGCTACCCGCCGAGTAGGGCACGGGCATGGCATCGGCGTGCTGTGTCGGTCTAGGGCCAGGCTGGCTAACGTAGCGTACCCAAAAGACCACACACACAAAAGGGAAAAAATACCCGCGAAAGGATTTCCGTCCCTTGGGCACACACACAGTCGTGGCCGAGTCAGGTTTCGTTGCCCGCAGACCGGGTATGGCCGATCGGCTGATGTTGTCACAAATGGGGGCACGAGCGTGGGACGGGCTTTTTACATCGAGGCAGGCCTGCCAGAACGACACGCGGCGTCTCAAGTCAGCGCGTTGTGTTCTGCAGCACAAAACAGTCGCCACACTCACCCCCCTCCCTCCCCTCCCCCCGCGGCACCGCTGCTCAGCTGTCCTTGCCGGGCCCCGCGGCCACGCCGGCTGTCGCATGCCGTCGCGCCGCCGCCATGTCCAATTGGCTGACGGGGCCTGCGAGTCTATTGGTGCTATTGGTATGAAAGGTCCGATCTGCGCTCCGCCGCCGGCGCGGAAACTGCGAAGAGGACGATAGGGTGCGAATTGGCTGGCACGGGAAGAGGGGGGGCACCGCTAGTCGCCTACATAGAGGTTTTTTGTCGAGCAGATTGCCTATCTACTATGCGGGAACAACAAAAGGAGAATACCCCCCCCCCCAACCACCGCTAAAGCGCTTCTGCATCGCGTGCTTTTACGCGTGGGACAATGAGCGCTGTGATTGATTCCCCGTGCTTAACATGCGAACAGGTTTGTAAATTAGTGGCATTCGTGGAAAGCAAATCACGCCATGAATCATCCTGACCTGGTCTAGCCAGCCTGGAATGGCGCTTACGCCACGGACGCGATTCCAAAATGCTGTACTTTCACATCACATGTCCATGCCCCCCCCCCCTTTCCGCTGCCCCCCGCTTCGCGTCGCGAGCGTCGCGTCCCACTACGCGTACCGGCGAGCGCCCGGAGGATAGGCCACCCATTTGACTCCGCAACAAGAGGCGAGAGAGATGTAAATGACTTGGAATTAATTCACGGGCTCTTTGAGCTCTGAGCATTGTGAACAAGTTAATTAGTGGTGAAGCAAAAAAAAACGGAAGCCCGACTAGAGTCAAAAAACAAAGACGTATAGTTTACGGATGTGCATCCGTTGGTGAGCTGACCGGTGCGGGTGGTCGTCAGTGTCAGTCCAATTAATCCCCCAATGGAAAATAAATGCAATTTTTCTCAGAGCACATCTGACAGGAGCAGTTAGCTTCATCTCCAGCTCCAGGCATTTCAGAATCAACAATCTAGTACTTTCACTGAAACTGTTTTTGTCTAGCGAGTAGCGAAAACACTTGAAGTATCTTGAAGACGTTGAAATAGCCTCGAATGGATGGCAGCCTTACAATATACGGGATCGGCAAGAAAGTACGCCCTTTTTTCTCAGATTCGTTTCGCAAACTCCAGGAGCTCGGCGCCTGCGATAATTAGGGTAGGCCACCCAGCGGTGCACGCGTGCACTGCATGCCAGATGTTGCCTACCGATCAGGCGCTATGGGCGTCCGTTGACTGAACTGGATAGTTTGGTAACGGCATATGGCAGTTGTACTTTCTGGATTCTACGTAAGTAGTAAAAACAATTCTTTAGATGTCGCACAGCAGTCCTTCAAAGTAGTGCTCTCTCATGCAGCGTTGAGTCTTGGCGGGCCGAAGCGAAAAGGCGACCCGCCTTCACGCTTGCATGCTGTGCGGTATGCGTACAACAGAGAACGGCGCTAATCGCAGCCGTACAACTCCGCACCGCATAGCATCTCTCTTCTCTTGCTCCCTTCCCTCCCCACCTCCAAACCCTTTATATTAATCCGATTTGGTTCACCCAAATGAACTACAAATGAACCGTACATATATGCGGGATTCTAACTGTATTTGTCGATTGACTGTAAAGCCGTAAAGTTATAAGTTTAAATTTTCATTTATTTTTTAACGAATAGAACTTTGTACAATTTGAGTTTTATTTTAAAAGTTATACATGAATAACTTGGGGAGACCATGTCTGTTGTAAAATTTACTACTGCACTTCGTATCATCCACCTGTTATCTCACTTTGCAGAGTAGCCTTGAGGATACCACGGCACCACCTCCAGACATTTCCAAGTGTCGCAGGACTCTTTTTAGTCGTAATACTTGCCGATTCAAAGACATCTTTTTTGGGGCGCATCTCCGGGTTACTCGACCACCTCTACCGAATCCTAGATCTAGGGGTTTTGGTCTGTTTTTGGAGCCCGGCGATCGTCGACTGGGGTGGCGATCCGTATAAATGGTCGCGACGGCGACAGGTTTGGCACTCTCAGGTCAGCTGACGATCCAGAACAACCAACTAACCATGAGATTCCTGGTAAGTGACCCTGGCGCACTACTTGTGCCCGACTAACTCGAAGAAGAGCACCCAGCACCTCAACTTCAGAGTCCGCTTGGCTTCGCATATCACTGTTTTCTCATACGATTCGCCCTCTACCTTGCAGGTCCTCGCCGCCCTCGTGGCCGTGGCCGTTGCCGACTACCACGATGACACCTTCCACTTCTCTACCCTCGGCAGCTCGAGCGGCCTGAAGAGGACCTCCTTCCAGTCCTCCCAGCCCATCGTCACCAAGAAAACGTTCCAGTCCGGACCCCTGATCTCTTCTTTCGCCCCCCAAACCACCTTCCTGACTTCTCAGCAGCCTATCCTCACCAAGAAGACGATCACTACCAAGACCTTCCAGAGCGCCCCGCTGATCTCCACGATCGCGGCTCCCCCTGTTGAACAGAGGTTCATCGTCCAGCAGCAGCCTGCCTTTGAGCAGCGCTTTGCCGTGCAGCAGGTGGCCCAGCCCGCTTTTGAGCAGCGCTTTGCCGTGCAGCAGGTAGCCCAGCCCGCTTTCGAGCAGCGCTT